TGACGGCGATACCTCTTCCCGCGTCACTCCGGTCACCGACTCCCGTCGTTTGAGAATCACGTTTAATGGATCAGTTTCGGATGTTTTACCATGGAAGTTTACACCGCAACAACGTGAAGTTCGAGTTCTTCCGGGCGAGACAGCACTTGCATTCTTCACAGCGACAAACAAGGGCCCAACGGATATCATTGGTGTAGCGACGTATAGTGTCACTCCCGGACAGGTTGCTCCCTACTTCAGCAAGATTCAATGCTTTTGCTTCGACGAGCAGAAGCTGAATGCTGGAGAGTCGGTTGACATGCCGGTGTTCTTCTTCATCGACCCTGACTTTGCCAATGATCCGGCAATGAAGGGCATTGACACAATTACGCTCTCATATACCTTCTTCAGTAAGTTTCCAGATCAAACCAATGATGAGGTATCATGTGGCTAATCAATGTGAAACAGAGGCGCGATATGATGACAATGGTGTCTTGAAGCCATTGCCGTCGAGCTAATGGCGTGACTGATTGTTATGTACTACATATCAGGAGCCAAGCGATTGGGCTCTCTACGACAACAGACTCACAGTAAAATGCTTTTGGAACGTATATACCCGAATCACCCTGGCCTTGTGACATCCAACGGAATGTCCCAGAGACCTGGCTCGCTCCGATGTGACCCTCCGAGCAAATTCGGAAGACCCATCTCTCCTCTTGCAAGGGCCAATTATGAAAACCTGAACCTGATGGTCCCAAGCACCCCACTGACCATCTTTGTATCATAGATAGAGCATGTACATACAGAGGACTACTGAAGCTTTTCGTATGGAATGGGCGGGGTGACATATCATGTATAGTATTTAGGCGTTCAAACGTGAAATATAAAGGAATCATTGTTATACATCCATCACCTCAATGTAGACAATGGTTTATAGTGTTCCTCTGGCTACTACGTACTTGACCGTCTCGATTGTACTAGATCTGCAATGATTTTGCACGGCCGAACGTGATTGGTGAATCCGCTGCATAGTCAGCATAGCGCACGGACCGCCAATTAAGCTCGCGTGTCACGCCCGACGCGTCTGCGCTCGGCTTAAGCTATCTATCGGCTCTGAAGGGAAAGCATACTGCTGAGTGAAGACCTCGAAGCCTTTAACTATTGAACTGCACACTCAATTGCGAAAATGGCCTTGCTAGTCGACAAACTGCGGCCGCGGTCGCTAGATGCCCTCACATACCACCCCGAGCTGTCCGCGCGACTGAAATCATTGGTAAGGCAATTCAAGCTCATACTATCCACCTCGAGTACAATCCTCACAATGATGTTTCTTTCTAGGCGCAAAGCGGCGACTTCCCCCATCTGCTCATGTACGGACCCTCAGGCGCAGGAAAAAAGACACGAACCATCGCGACGCTCAAAGAATTGTACGGTTCCGGAGTCGAAAAGATCAAGATCGACGCTAGAGTCTTTCAGACGACAAGCAACCGCAAGCTCGAGTTCAATATAGTGTCTTCGGTCTATCACTTGGAGATCACCCCATCGGATGTTGGAAACTATGATCGTGTCGTTGTGCAGGAGCTGTTGAAGGAGATTGCGCAGACCCAGCAGGTCGATCTCTCGGCGAAGCAGCGCTTCAAGGTCGTTGTGATCAACGAGGCCGATCATCTTACTCGTGATGCGCAGGCGGCGCTGAGACGAACGATGGAGAAGTACAGTCCCAACTTGAGGTTGATTTTGTTGGCCAATAGCACCTCGAATATTATCGCTCCTATCCGGTCCCGTACCCTGCTGGTCAGGGTTGCTGCTCCGAATGAAGAGGAAATCTGCACTGTACTGAGGAACGCGGCTAAGAAGGAAGGATGGCCTGAGGCAAGTGGGTTGAATAAGAGGATAGCTAAGGAGAGTGGGCGTAATCTTCGTCGCGCGCTCCTTATGTTTGAGGCTATCTATGCTCAGAAGTACGTCCCAAATTGGTGGTCTAGTGGGGTGCCAGAGCTAACGTGATTTTCTTCTGTTTCTAGTGAGAAAGTGACGGATAACACGCTCATCCCACCTCCCGATTGGGAAGCTTTGATTGCGTTGACAGCCGAAGAGATCCTGGCAGAGCGGTCGCCAGCTCGTCTGTTGCAAGTCCGCGCACGCTTATACGACCTTTTGACGCATTGCATACCACCGACTACTATTATTAAGGTTCGATCAGTACGTTATAGGTGACTGGAATAGAAATGCTAACTGGGATCTAGTCTTTGACATTCAACCTGATCACAAAGGTCGACGATGCTCTAAAGCCTGATGTCATCAGGTGGTCGGCGTTCTATGAGCACAGGATCACTCAAGGCAGCGTAAGGGCTCTCATTTGCTGCATGCATGTCCAATATACACGGCTAATATCCTTCGCAGAAAGTAATCTTCCACCTCGAAGCATTCGTTGCCAAGTTCATGCGCATATACGAAAGGTTCGACTACCCCCAAATACCCCCAAACTGCTCAATTCATTCGCTAACCCGTGCACAGTTATCTGATGGGCATGGAATTCTAAAATATCGAAGATAATAATACCCAACGATTCTTAATGACTTCACTGTACACTACCGGGGGTCGTATCCCATCTGGGCGACTATGGGACTCGTAGCTGAACCTACCTCAGTATTTCTAGCAGGATTTACTCCTGTATCTCTTAGATACCATAAAATTAAGATATATCTTGCATTAAACGAATGCACACTGAAACCCTGGTCCCAGCTGACAGCAAGCCAATCAACAACACCCAACTAAGCACAAGCAAAGTGCTATACCAAGCCAACCACTAACCACCAACCAACAACTAGTACACCCTCGTATCCCCCAAACCCAAGCCAACGACATGTGATCAAGCATCAAGATCAACCGAGAACAGCCAGGAACAAAACACGAAGTGGGCGTTACTTCTCCACAGAACCTTGGTAGAGATGACATCTTGATCGTCTAGATGGCTAGTAGATAGACTACGTCATCATCCCATGGATGATGATCCACCACAACCACAACCATATCCCCCGACTTCTCCCAGAGACTCTGAGTTTCTTACCTACCTTCAAGAAATAATTATCTATTCATCAAGTATCATACATAAGTGAATTCTACTTTGAATAATGTCTGGCACTAATCTCATGGATATCGAGCCTGGTGGTGAGAACACGCAGTATGTCTAGCCTTACTACATTTATTTCTTAAGATTGAAGTTAATGCTAATGGTGGCTGTACTAGGTATGAGTCTATCCGGTTGTTTACGGAGACACCGGCGAAGCAGACGGGGCAGTTGGGTGGTATGTTCTACTATCTTCATCTTATCCTATGGTTTTATGGCAGCCGACTAAGTTGCTCGCAGGACACTCCCAACATACGGTCAGCGAGATGAGAACAACACTCGACGACGACCGCAACGGAAACGGGGAGCAGTACAGGGATACGCCCCTGGCACGACAGCTGGAAAAGGGCGAGGGTACGACGGGTCTCACGGGAATCACAGATATAGGTGGGTACAGGTTTGATTTCGATATTTCGTTGTTTTCCTAACTCCGCATATTCATATGAAAATACATCGACACCTGCGACAAAGCGGGAAAGAAAAATAAATAAAACATGACAGATATAGAGAGTCTAGAAGCTGATGATGATGATAATGTACACAAGACCTGAAGCCCGAAACCCCAGAAGAGGGTGCTGCGCTGGCGGCGAAAATCAGGAGAGAACAAGGGTATGGACCTGGTTCGGGCGTCGGGGCTTAGATGTCATGACGTTGTGAATGAACCGGGGTGGATTGACGTGATTGAGAGGTTTGGTTGAGAGAAGGCGCTTTGAATTATTGGGGGGCAGAGGGGCTGGAGGAGGACGAGGTCGAGGTCGGGGGGTTCGGTAGGTCCTGAGTACCGAGGGCTGGGCTTCTGCGTGCGCGTTTGAGGCTCTCCAGAGTCACTCCATTGCCAAGTTTCGTCAGTCCAACGACCGGCGGGTCGCCCTTCTTCACGAATTCCCAGAGGCCTGCAGCCATTGTATTATTAGTTCACCGTATGTCGATAATTGGAGATATATAATCAAGTGAGAGTAACATACCGGGCAGCTTGTGACCGGCCAGACGGAAGGCCTCCCTGGCGACCTTTTCGTGCAGATCACCCTTGAGCTCAAAGACGATTCTGCTCACGCCAACCTTCGCAGTCCAGTAGTCGAACTTTCCCTTACCCTTACCCATACGCTGTTCATTGCCCTTGGTGTAGACACCGATGTTTGCGCTCACGCGCTTGTACAATGTGTAGTTCATACCCCTCAGACGTCTCTTAATCGTATCCTCTGCAATTTTCAACGACGAAGCGGGCAACCGGCGGTCGTGATCCTTCATCCGCAAACCATAATCACCCCAGACGACAGTGGTACCGCGGGAAGAACCACCAGTTGCGACATGCGGACGACCCTTCGGGGACTTGGATCTCTCAGCGAACTTAGGAGTAAGCCAATCGAGGGCAGGCGAGGTCGTCGAGAAGCATCGCGATAGCGGGAAAGCCGTGAATGGCGTCGACAGACCTACTGTACGGCATCGGAGTCAGGATATAAAAAACTTTTCTTGGGGAGGCTTGCGGGAATCTCACACGACGGTCGGAGGAAGGCCATCTGAGGCCCCGAGAACATCTTTAGCTGCGGACCCATTGTGAATCGTGGCAATCGGCCCTGCTTGGACTGAATGGGGGGACCGGAAGGATGATGGATGGACCGCAGACTGACTTTCAGGCCATCGGCTTCACTCCAGCGCCGATTCCACTTCCCGAAAGGGAAGAAAGTGCTGCGCACGTGCCACACGCGTGCCACCCTTAGGTAAGCCAATTAAGTCACGTCTCCCGCCGGCGAGCTCCAGGCAACGCGTCGTGTTTCTTGGGAAGCTGCCTGTGCTGTGCTAGTTGGGTGTGCGTCAGCATCGTTTCTGGGTCGCTTAAATATCCTGCTCAACCATTGCGCTCCGGGGCATGCTCCATTAATCATCTGTCGCCATGCCTGCTGATATTCGGAGCTTTTTTGGCGGCAAGTCTAGTCAAGGCTCCAACCCATCTCCCGCAAAGCCCGCGCCGAAGAAAGAGGTAGTGAACCCCCCCATTGCGCATAAGCATTTCATGCTGCATGCGAATCGCCGATGAATTTACTGACGTTGGTACCAAATTAGGAGCCTTCTACGAGAAAAAAGAGTAAGAGAACTGGTTATTAGTTTTGTCCCGCAATATCTTGTTGATGCGCGTACAGGGACTAGAAAGGTTGTAGACGACAGTGATGAGGAAGAGGTTGTCGCTACCAAGACCGCAAGCCCGAAAGTGAAGGCTCCGAGCAAGCCGTATGTCTGCCTTAATGCGACTCTACCCGCTGTAGTTTGCTGACAATTACTCAGTAAGCCAGAAGTATCGAAGGGTGAACCCACAACTTCGTCAGACTATTTCGCATCTAGCAAGAAGAGAGGCAGGCCTGCCAAGGAGACCAAGACATCCCAGCCTGCTGCCACTGAAGAACCTGAAGCGAAGCCGTCCCCGAAACCGAACAAGTCTACGAGCACCGAAAAACCTGCACCAAGACCTCAACGCGGTACACGAAAGGCTACCACAATCGTTGAAGACGATGAACTCGGTGACGATGACATCCATGCGACAGAGTACAAGAAACCAGGCAGGGGGGATGATGATTATGTCGAGGAAGAGGACAAAGAGAGTGACAGTGATTTCGAGGAACTTGCGGTAAAACCAGCCAGCGCCGCCTCCGGAAGACAGGGACGAAGGAAGCAGGCAGCTGCTGAATCGGATGAGGATGTGGTTATGGAGGATCTGCCCAAGCGACCTTCCAGAGCTGCCAAGTCAGCCGCCTCTCAACCAGCGCGCAAACGCAAATCCGAAGTTCTCGAGAAGGACGAGGATTACGACACCAAAACTAGTCCTAAGAAGGCTGCGGAGACGAAAGCCGCTCCCCGTACCCCTAAGAAGCCAAGGGCATCTGCCAAAACAGATCGACCTGAAAGCAAGGAGATCCAGGATATATTCGACAGCATACCTACGATCAGACCACCCTCTCCTCCGCGCGAGACTGGTGAAAAGGCCAAGTTCAACTACGCTGCTCACGCACAGCGCTCGCGGTCGCCAGTAGCTGGGGGGGCGGACATACCACAAGGAGCGGAAAATTGTCTTGCAGGGCTTTCTTTCGTGTTCACTGGTGTCTTGGATACGCTCGGCCGCGACGAAGGGCAAAACCTCGTGAAGAAATATGGTGGTAAAGTTACTGGGGCACCTAGTTCCAAAACCAGCTATGTTGTCCTGGGAGCGGATGCCGGACCCAAGAAGCTGGCAACGATTAAGCAGCACAACCTAAAGACAATCAACGAGGAGGGGCTATTCGAGCTTATCCGTCGACTTCCAGCCAATGGTGGAGATGGGAAAGCGGCAGAGCAACATGAGGCGAAAAAGAAAGCCGAGGAAGAAAAGATTCGCGCGATGGCAGCTGAGATCGACCGCGAGGAGAAGCGCAAGGCGGCGGCTGCGCGCAACACGGCTCCCTCAGGACCTCAACCGCCTTCAAGCTCGCAAAGTACGACGCAAAGCACGAAGACTGACGACCGCCTGTGGACCACCAAATATGCGCCGACATCGATGAATATGATTTGTGGTAACAAAGGTGTTGTCGAGAAACTACAGAACTGGCTTCGCGACTGGCACAAAAATGCCAAGGCTGGATTCAACAAGCCAGGGAAGGATGGATCAGGAATGTATCGCTCTGTCATGATTCACGGACCGCCTGGAATTGGCAAGACCACAGCAGCACACCTGGTGGCAAAGCTAGAAGGGTACGATGTCGTGGAGACGAATGCAAGCGACACAAGAAGCAAGAAGCTCGTGGAAAACGGCCTTCTCGGTGTTTTGGATACGACCTCGCTACAAGGCTACTTTTCAGGTGTTGGGAAGAAGGTGGAAAGTGCGAAGAAGAACTTGGTCCTCATCATGGATGAAGTTGACGGCATGTCCGCCGGTGATAGAGGTGGTGTAGGAGCACTCGCCTCCATCGCCAAGAAGACTCACATCCCGCTGATTTTGATCTGTAATGAGCGAAGGCTCCCGAAAATGAAGCCTTTCGATCATGTCACATATGAACTTCCGTTCAGGCGGCCGACGGCCGAGCAGATTAGAGCCCGACTGTCGACCATCTGCTTCCGCGAGGGCTTGAGGATCCCGCCTCAGGTCTTGGACAGTCTGATTGAAGGCACCAACGCGGACATCCGGCAAGTTATCAACATGCTTTCAACCGTGAAGTTAGACCAGACAAACCTAGACTTCGAAAAGGGGAAGCAAATGTCTAAAGCATGGGAAAAGCACATCGTTCTGAAGCCCTGGGATATTGTCGGCAAGATTCTCAGTGCGCAAATGTTCTCGCCCAGCTCAAAGGCTACGTTGAATGATAAAATCGAACTCTACTTCAACGATCACGAGTTCAGTCCTCTGATGCTTCAAGAGAACTATCTGAAAACACGACCGGCGTTGACTGGCGCCTATCATGGCAGAGAACAGAAGCTGAAACAGCTTGAACTAATGGACAACGCTGCTTCAAGCATCAGTGATGGTGATCTCGTTGACAAGATGATTCATGGTACTCAGCAGCAATGGAGTCTGATGCCTACCCATGCCGTGTTCAGTTTTGTCCGGCCAGCCAGCTTTACGTACGGAAACATGATGGAGCGGCCCGGGTTTACTAGTTGGCTGGGACAGAACAGTAAACAAGGTTTGTGCGATCTGTTGGCTATAATAATTTCCAGTGCTAACACCAATTATAGGCAAGCTTTGGCGTTACATCAAAGAAATTCAGGGTCATATGCGTCTTCGCGCATCTGGTGATCGAGATGAGATCCGACAACAGTATATGCCGCTCCTCTGGGACAGGCTAGTCCGCCGATTAATGGTGGAAGGCAAGGATAGTGTCGACGATGTCATTGATTTCATGGACAGCTATTTCCTTACGCGCGAGGACTGGGATGCCTTGGTAGAACTTGGGCTGGGACCTATGGATGAATCCAATGTGAAGCTGCAGACACAGACGAAAGCAGCATTCACACGGATTTATAACCAGCGCTCCCATCCCCTCCCCTTCATCAAGGCCAGCAGTATTGCTGCTCCGAAGAAGATGCCGAAAGAGAAGCCTGACATCGAAGATGCCATTGAGGAGTCGGATGAGGAAGAGGTGCTCGAAGACGACTCAAAGGACAACGACGAGAACGAAGAGCTCGATTTGAAGAAGGACAAGTATGTTCGCGTGCCCAAGAAGGCTGCGAAGGGCGGAGCAGCCAAAGGAAAGAAATCGAAGAAGGCAGCAGCGGGCGATGATGATTTTATCGACGACGAGGAAGAGAAACCCAAGAAGGCTCGAGGCCGGAAACCCAAGGCCAAATGATCTAGAAATTGGAAGAGCGACGGAGTCATCACCTCCAGTTTATGTCCATGTATTATCAGTTCTGTTAGTATAATGAGCGGGCTACTAGCGATGTCACCATCAGCAGTGGATGATTATTGTTTTTGTGTGATTGACATAGCACTATCTTGGAACGAATCACTCCAATTGTATAATAGACCATATTATAGAATTCCAAGGTTGTACTGTGATCTCTTCATTGCTTCGTATACTGGGTAGTACCCCGCATCTATCCATCGCTAGGACCTAGAGTTGCACACTGTAAAGCATACGGGGATCCAATACTAAGGCATGTCCCTCGGTAGCTAATTTGCCTTGCATAGACTAGTGACCGTGCAAGGATAAAGGGAACCACCCTCTTGGGTCCGACAAAGGAGACGTCGGTGTGTCAGAGGAACAACAATAAGGGCAGGCGGGAAAATGGCATGGGCGGCGGCGGTGCGGAGATCGGCCACGGGATCTCCAGGCCATCCATCTTCTGCCCGCGACGGCTGAGCCTGCAAGTGCTTTTGATCCCCACACAACCTCATCGCCGCAGGACGCTCTTCCTCGTCCCTTTGCGTTGCTTATCCCCTCATTTCTTACCATCAGGCTGGTCCTGCATTCACATCCCACGGTCGCTCTCTTTTCCTACTACTTCTTTTTTCGGCCTGCTCCAGTTCAGCGCATCCATCCATTTCCCCTTGTTGCACCAGCCCGGAGATCATGCCCACTCGAATCCTGACAGCGGTTTCGCTCTTCCTGGCGTAAATGGTCGTTCTTCGTGATTGTGACGAGGCTTACTCTATCTCTTACTACTCATCTCTTTTCTTGCAGCGATTGTAACCATGTCTCTTCTCCACAATGAAGAGTAGGTGTCTGACCCCGCGACCCATCTCGCGTCCCCCCTCCCCTCATTCCCCCCCCGGTAATCGCACACATACAGTGTTGGGTCAACGGACTAACCCAATCTCAGTTTCACAATCTGGCAGTTGCGCACTTCCTATCTGTCGACCATAAAGGACGGCATAGGCGATAGGCTTATCAACGTGAACAACACCGTGCTCAACACGCCAGGATTCCGCGCAGCTGGCTGGTCTTCGGCTTCTACAAACCCCAATACGCAGAGCGCGGCTGCCCACATTAAGCGGACAAATTCACCCCCAATCCCTACTACTACGGCGGTTACCTCGGAATATTACCAGCTAGGTGTTGCCCGAGACGATGCGCAGAGATTCGGCCTGGTGGATGAAGGCGACGATGACGAAGGGGGAATGGTGACGGGGAAGACCAACACAGAGCTGATTGGGCGTCGCAACCGCGGGAAACGAGTACACCGGAGGGAACGACAGCAGCATGAGCAACAGAAACACAGAGAAGCGGAGGATGATGACAGCAGTGACCTGAGTGATGAGAGCGACGATGATGGGGACAGTGCTCGAAGGTGAGTCAATTGGCTCAAAGGATGCAGAGACCTGCATATGCAGTCTCATGCTCACAAATCATAGTGCTGCGAACCAGATCAAGTTTACGAAGATGCCCATACGAACTAGAGCCGGATCTTCACCCATACGTTCATCAGACCGCCAGGAGAGTCCTCAGGTTATGGTCACGTCTCCATCACATCCGACAATGGGTACCCATTACCGTACTGGATCATTGGGAACAGCTGTTAGCAGCATAAACGAGCGGCCGCGGCGCGATACTACGACTACAGCCAGCAGCGACATATCTTCGGACAATGACCTGGATGCATCTGCCTTCAGAAGGCGTCAGATTTCGTTCTCTAGCCATGATCAGGTCATAGAACCTGCGAGAAGGAGAAATGGCCCACCGGGCCCTCGGGATCTGGAAGAACTCCATGAGCAAGCCGAGGACTCAGGAGCTGAATCTGTGGGTTCGGCCCTGTCGTCTGATTTTGACGCAACGGCGGGTTCTGCGTCATTACTTGCAGGGGTTGGGATCACTGGTAGCTTAGATTCATCCTCGCCAGTTGCTCTGATGCACAAGCTGCAGAATGGCACGGGTTCACAGACGGCATCCCCGAGGAAACCCAGAGCCCCAGCGCCAGAGCTCCAAGATCTGCCACCTCCACGGCCAATCAGCACTGTCCAGCCAGTCAGTTTGCTTTCCAAGGCACTTAATGCGCGCAAGAAAGCGCCGACGAACCCGGTGGAGAAATTCGCGGTGCTTTCAGGCAAGGGCTTGACCGATGTCCTGAACATCAAACTCTACCTGCCATTCTCCGCCGATCCCGATGAACCACTCGATTTGCCAATTGCGCGCGAGTCCAAGCTTGCAGAGCAGCCTGCACCGGTAACAGTTGTGGAAGCAATCGGCCTAGCGCTTTGGAGATACAGCGAAGAAGGTCGCGAACCGGCTGTTGAACGCAGCAAGCTTACCGTGAACATGTGGACGCTGCGAATGGTGGAAGATGGCGAAGTCGAATATGATTTTCCCGCTTTAGGTCGAACATCGCCAATTGCTGACTTTACCTCGAATAACAATCGGGCCGCTGGTCGACGGACTCGGGGGAAACAGTATGATGAATTCGCGCTAGTCGAAGCATCCAAGGCGGAATTCGAAGCAAACGAGCGTCAATTCCCCCAGTTCAGCCAGACAGCTGCTTCTGAAGATAGCGGAGAGACACCTGCACCGACGAGTGCCCCGACAAGCCAGCCGGCCCCGCAAAGCAAGGCACCTCGCCCGAATCCGATTTTGGGACAACCCTTCTCGTCGGCTTTGAACGACAATACACTAACACCCGCGGATCGGCCTGCCGTGCCCACGTCCCATGCCACACCTCGCCTGGGGGTGTCAAAGACACTGAAAATCCGGTTCATCAATGTGGAAGCGTCCACCCAGGTGACGACGCTCAACACGTCTACCGACAGCTACATCGCCGAGATCCTCGATTCGGTGTGCAAGCGATGGGGCCTGGACAAGGGGAACTATCTACTGAAGGTGATGGGATCCAATACGATCGCACCGCTAGACCGCACCGTGGAAGCCCTGGGCAATATCACGGAGCTGGACCTGGTGCGCCGACGATTCGGGCCGCAGTCGCTAACGGGCTCCCCGGGCAGCTCCTCCCCGAACGCGCCGCTCCTTATCGACAGCACCAGCGCGCCCAGCAAGAAGGGGAAGAAGAGCGGACAGCGCATGCTACACCCGCTCACGCAGAAGCAAGATCTCATTGGAGGATATTACCGGCGGTACTACGTCTGGCGCAAACAATCCATGGGCTTTACGCAATCCAACCACCGGATCTTGACGTTTGACAACGATTACATGCATATCATGCCGGCGGACACGGGCAAGACAGCGTCGGACACCAAGACGCGGTCGATCAGCTTCAACGATGTCGTGGGATGCAAGGTGAGCCGGCGACACCCGAAGAATTTCCGGGTGGTGGTGTTGCGCGGCAACGATGCCAACGAGCAGAAGCGGTATGATTTTGAGGCACGCAATGCGCTGGAAGCGGTGGAAATCGTAGACGAGATCAAGAAGAACATGGCGCATTACCGCATCTAAGGGACGCATTGCTATTGTTATTTTGCTTGCTGTTTTATTGAGGGAACCGAGAAGTGGAAGCGAGCCCTCCGACCATTGCTTGGAGGGAGCGGCGTTGCCATCTTTGCTACTAGGTAGGTGTACATAAGGCCGGGCAGCTTTCGGGTTGGATTTGAAGTTTGCAGCAGCATGGAGCCAGGGCTACCGGGGGGGGGGGGGGATCAACAACAATTGGAACAAACAATTTCTTCTTTCTGCCACAACCCGCGAGAATAGTAACTGTAGAGAGGTAGTGGCGGTGCGCATCCCATCCGTAGCGTGTACACTAACAGTGGTATCTCAGGTGCTAAAGTAGGTTAAGTGGATGCAAGCGTCAAGATCAGTTCATAGTGAGCCTCCCGACCAACCAAAAGGCCGCCGGACGGGGAAATTCCTGACCGGTCAGGGGGCAGCTTGATTGGCTTCAAGCCTTCAACAAAGGGCAAGCCAAATGCCCCGAAGGCGGGGCGGTTTCCACTCGCCTTTTTGGGAGGATCCACCGGGGCGGTGATGAAGTCATCTTTCAGCGGTAAGCAATTAACTAACTAGTTAACTAGTAAGTAGTTAGTTAACAAGGCAACCTATGCTGCCAGCCAGCTGCCAGCTGCCCAACATGCATGTTGTTCGGGTCTTTAAAAGTAGCGACATTTGCATATACCATAGATAGATACTTAAGCTGTGAGGAAAAAAAAAAAAAAAAAAAAAAACAAAATACGGAGAGTGGTTGGTTTTGCATCAGCAGTTTCATCTTCCCAGCTTCTCTTACCTACTAGTACTAAGTAGTAGGAGGCTCCTCGTTTCGGAATTCCAAGCCACACACACACTCGAGATCTGAAAACAGTGTTTGATGATGACCTCATCGGGGCGAAACTGAACCCGGAAATAAGTTTGGGAAACATGGATTCTCGATAAGCGAGAAGGAGTGGAAAAGAATGCATCATTGATGATAATGTAGCAATTGAAGGGTCCATGGATCGAGAGGAGTGAGATCGGCTGGACCCGGTGGGTTCTTCTTCTTCTTCTTCTTTACTATTTGCCTGAAGCAGAGTTGTAATACAACTTTGGTATCTGGGGAAGTGTGAAAGAGACTTGGTTCAGTTATCATCATCCCAAATGTCATGATGAGTGAGTGAGTGAGTGTATCTATGGTACCACTGCAGTTATTTGACTGTTTCTTTTTACTGTGGGAAAATTACTGGCCCAGACAAAGTATGTTTTAGCGTTGGGGTGGAGTCGACAAAGTGGTGATGGAGATAGATAGTAGTCTAGTAAGTAGCATAGCTTCTTCGACTTGTGGCCGACCGACCGCTTTTAGACATAGGGAAGGACGACTTGCCTTTAGATGGGTAGTTGTTTCGGTTAAGTTCATGTTGTAACGTGGAATAAGCGCATTTGGAGAAGAGAGAATTAAACAAACAACTAACAAATAACTACTCTCTTGATGAAATGGTTGACTGACTGACTGACTGACTGACTCTCTGTCATTGTCCACTAAGCCCAATTCATGCCGATCCACGCCAATCCAACCCCGCCTCTCTCCTCTCTCTTTCTCTTTCCCTCCCTTTGCTTTCCCTTTTCTCTAATTTTTCCCACTCTCTCTCTGTCCATCAAACTAATCAGAAAATAATTATAATGAAATAGGATAAATTATTGCGGTGCTTGTGCTCGTAGTTATTTTTTTTTTTCCAGCTAGTAGTAGTAGTAGTAGTAGTAGTAGTAGTAGTAGTAGTGCTGGTGGTCACTGCAGCATCTCTTTCCCTCCCCTCTCTCTCTCTCATCTCCTCTTCTTCTCCTCTCCTCTCTCTTTATCCCCCTCACATCCTGCCATCATCAGCACCATCATCGATCCTCCCGCACACCAGCCATACTACTCTCCCTCCCAACCCCAGTCCAACCCATCCTCCCAAGAGGTTCCCACACTCCCCCCGCGTTACACATTTTCCTTTCCTATCCGGTCATCCTTACGGTTGCCCGTCTGTCCAATTGAGTTTCCGTTGACCGCCGTTCGGGACCAGTGTTTTGTTCAGTTCAGTACAGTTCAGTTCTGTTTGGGGGGGCTCCGCTGTATCCGCGCCCGAACCCGTCCCAAAGAGAAAAAGCTCGCCGCTTTCCCTCTCCATATTATAATTACTCTTACTGTGTTGCTTCCTTTCCCTTACCCCCCCCCCCCCCCCTCTCTGAGAGCATCTCTTAAAGAGGGGTCGCGTTGATCGGCTATCGCAAGCATCGTTAATTCTCCCTTACATTTTTTTTTCCCACGTGGCAAAAAGACCATCGTGGGCTTTAACATTTAATCTTAACTGCCTACAGCAGCGTTTTCTCCATGCCTAGTTTAGGAGGTTTGCTGAAAAAACGGCGAACGAAAGATTCGCAGACCCTCTCCAAAGAGCTTGAAGCCGGTTCGGCCCAGACGCAGACGTCACCAAACGCTGCCGAAGACCACCACAACCACAACCACCACCACCACCACCTCTTCCACCACCAACATCAACCCCAACCCGCCACCAATTCTGGCTCTTCTACGAACCCCCCCGCTCAGCCTCAAAATTCCGTTCCTCAACAACAGCCCAATCGGTCTTCGGGTGCAGACAAATCCTCCGACGGTCAGGTAGCCTCCATGCAATCCGCTGTGACGCAAGCCTCGCCGTCTGCCCATCATACCTCTGGCCTCCCGCAGCCCAATGCCAATGCGGCTAGTATACAGAATATAATTCATCCCTCCCAGCAAGGCGCCATGCATTCGGCTTCCAGCGGTCATGCGCAGTCTCACCACGCCGCTCGCAGTGATGCCCGCACCACCAAAGGGAAATACTCTCTGGATGACTTCACCCTTCAGCGCACCCTCGGTACCGGTAGCTTCGGTCGCGTGCACTTGGTGCAGTCGAAACATAACCACCGCTTCTATGCCGTCAAGGTGTTGAAGAAGGCGCAAGTGGTCAAGATGAAACAGATTGAGCACACCAACGATGAGCGCCGCATGCTGAACCGCGTCAGGCATCCATTCCTAATCACATTATGGGGTACATGGCAGGATTCCCGGAACTTGTACATGGTCATGGACTTCGTAGAGGGTGGTGAACTCTTCAGTCTGCTCCGCAAGTCACAGGTGGGTTAATTCTTGACTTGGCCCGCCCGACCAACGTAAAGCTGATGTCTGGTACCTCTTTTTCATGTAGCGGTTCCCCAACCCCGTCGCCAAGTTCTACGCGGCGGAAGTCACTCTTGCCCTGGAGTACCTCCACACGCAGAACATCATCTATCGGGATTTGAAGCCTGAGAACTTGCTGCTAGACCGACACGGCCATTTGAAGATCACCGATTTCGGTTTTGCCAAAGAGGTGCCTGACATCACATGGACCCTTTGTGGTACACCCGATTATCTCGCCCCGGAGGTGGTTTCCTCCAAGGGCTACAACAAGTCGGTTGACTGGTAAGGGTTGCCATTATTGATGTTCATGCCCCTTTGGCGCAATTACTGACACTGTCCAAGGTGGTCCCTGGGTATCTTGATCTTTGAGATGCTGTGTGGTTTCACGCCTTTCTGGGACAGTGGCTCCCCGGTCAAGATCTACGAGAATATCCTGCGTGGCAGAGTAAAATACCCGCCCTACTTGCACCCAGACGCCGTTGATCTGCTGTCGCAACTCATCACGGCTGATCTGACCAAGCGTCTTGGAAACCTCCATGGCGGCTCTGATGATGTCAAGAACCATCCTTGGTTTGCCGAGGTCACCTGGGACCGTTTGGCCCGCAAGGACATCGACGCTCCTTACGTGCCTCCCATCCGCGGTGGCCAAGGAGATGCGAGTCAGTACGACCGCTATCCGGAAGAAACTGAACAGTATGGCATGGCTGGTGAAGACCCGTATGTGCTCCTTTCTCAATCCGTTCCATTCTATGATGAACACATTACTCACTTTTCTCTTCTTCAGACACGGCCATTTGTTCCCAGACTTTTAGTGTGTGCTATGAGTTATGATGGAATGATTGTCTCGTTACCGAGATGGCATCGTGCCATCCGATGATCCTGCGAGCCCTGTAAGACAGGACTATCTCGCTAATCCTTTCCCTGCGCTACCAATGGTAGCATCCACTTCACCATTCGTTGATTTCCCCTTGACTTCGGTTTGTCTTCGTTTTCGATCGCTGGCCGACTTGCTTTTTGGCTGCCTTTTGACGTAGAGCATACATCTAAGAGCTCTGTCATCCTCAGCGTATGCCTTTACCATCTTTCAAGTATACGCGATGGTCTTGTCTCTTTGCTTTTCCGGTTTCCGGACTGTTGGTGGTCTGCATATAAGCTTACCCTTATACTAGTTCTGGGAAGATCTGATGAGTGGATGATTCCCCGGCGATCTTATCGAGGTGGACATTGTCTATATTTCCTCGCGTTATGCCAGGCAGGAGGGTGTTTGCGGTGGTGTTTGTGCTGGAAGCTTCGGGGGGTCCTCGTGATTATGCCGACCGTTGACTGGTGAATTGGTCACCGACGGCACCCGTTTCTTTCTTCCATTTCTCCTGCTTATTCTATAGTCATATTGTGCAAATACTGGGGAGCTACTCTGGGTTATTCTTGATGTCATCTTTCCTTTTTATCCCTTTCCCTGTCCCTGTGGAGGCAGTTGTATAATGTACATATTTGATTTGGCCATTGCAATAAAAGTAGTCTTGGATAATTGGACGCTGGTCCCCCAACAGTGTCATCATAAGCATAGCCTGCCATCCAAGGCTCTATATTTCAAAACGCCACCGGCAGCCCGAACCAAAACCGTCCGTTCCGTATAATATACACAAATATCATCACACCAGTGGCCACTGCCTCATATCACACCAGTCAATGAAAAAGACCTCTAAATCGGATCACAACATGGCCAAACACATGGTAGAGAAAATGGACCACTCCCAACCAAGCACGGTTATCAAAGAAGCGTATATGATAGCAAATCACAGCGCAAGCATCCTCTTCTGCTCGGTGCCCACGCGACGGGTATATGTGCGGCTAACGGTGTTCCAGAAGGCGATGTACTTCTCCATGCAGTCGGTCAGGCAGGCCTGTTCGCCGGCGGACATGGAGGTTCCGGGATTGGGAACGCAGGCTTCGAAGCAGTGTTCGTTGACGTTCTATTAGAGGAGACAAGTATGTTAGCACAATATCTTGAACTATGGTCTCCTGAAAGAGGATGTAACGTACGGAGATCAGAGTGCGGGCGTTGCTCATAGCGGACTCGGCCTGGACCTGCTTGAAAAGGGCCTCCTTGACTTCCTTGCTGGAGGAGTCGGTGGAAGGGGAAGAAGAGCCGCCGAAGATACCCATTGTGAAATTTAGTGATGTGTGAATGTGTGTAATAGAGATGTTAGGGTCGTGGTTGTGTGGGATAATGCAAATGGTAAATGGATGGATGCAATACGTAGTATGCAGTATAAAGCAGTTGATGAGACAAGATCTTTTGAGCTCCGACGGAGGTGTGGCTAGTGAGCCACAGGAAAAAGGAAAGTAAGGTTGCTGCGCCACCGCCCCGGCGATGTGGACACTTGGAGTTCTACACTTCCTTCCCATCGCCCAGCTAAGTTATATTATACTCGGCTTTCTTTCTTGCGTCGATCTCTGATCTGTCCCCTCCTCTCCGCTTCTTCTTCTTCTTCCTCTTTCTCGTTGACTAAAGTTTCCCCGGTGTTCGTTCTTTCATTTATCCTCCTTCACACCTCCATTTCCCGGATCTCGCTCTTCTATTTACTCAATTGAATCTGTCTCCCCACGCCGCTCACCCTTGGTTTTGTTGATGTCCCGGTGACAATTGACGATATCGCCTACTCTTATTAGCTGCAGTCTATCTTTCACCACACCTACATATATCTTTCTTGCACGGTCGCTTGGCTTGAATCTTGTTTAAGGGTCTACTGTGCGCTTGTTACTCGGCAATCATGCTACTTCCGCGGCTTTCGTCCCTTTTGTGCTGGGCTGGCTTGGCCAGCGTGCCTCTGGCCAGCGCCTACGATGGTGATGACAATGTCAAGAGCATTCCGGTGTGTATGCTGCTGTTTCTGGTTATGGGGCGGTCTGCTAACTGTTGAGGATAGCTTCGCACGCACAGTCTTTCACCGGTACGTAGCTTACAGCTATAGCTAAGCTCGCGCATCATATTAATGTCTTCGCAGCCATACTTGGATTCCGACTTCCAAAGCCGCTGGTTCGATTTTGGTGGTGACACGATAGTTCGCGCCGACAAGTATGTTCGCTTTGCTTGTGGATAGCAGGGATTGGGAGAGAGCTTATGCTGAACGACTTCCTAGATACATCCGTCTTACGTCCGATCGCCCGTCGCAGCAGGGATGGATCTTCTCCCGTGTGCCTTTGACCGCGACCAACTGGGAGGTTAGTTGATGCGCTTTCCCTGGGATTAGGATGGTTCTGATATGTGTAGATCGAGGTTGAATTCAAGATCGAAGGGTCCGGCAACTTGCACGGCGATGGTTTCGCCATGTGGCTCACCAAGCAGCGCGCCACCCAGGGTCCTGTCTTCGGTTCGACGGACAACTTCGAGGGTCTGGGCATCTTCTTCGATACGTACAAGAACAACCGTCCCGGCACTTCGTTCCCCTACGTCATGGCCATGATGGGCGACGGCCAGACTACCTACGACCAGGCTCACGATGGAAAGGCTAATGAACTGGCTGGCTGTTCTGTAAGTGTAGTGTGCAGTGATGGTGTGAATTTTGACCTAACGATGATATAGGCTCGTGGTCTCCGTGGTGCCTCCATCCCTACCAAGGCCCGCTTGACTTACTTCCAGGACAAGTCCTTGACCCTGGACCTGCAGTACAAGTCCGAGGACAGCTGGATCCCCTGCTTCGAGCTGACCGCCCCCGAGTACAACATTGCCATTCCCTCTGTCGCCTACCTGGGCTTCTCTGCCGAGACTGGTGAGCTCAGCGACAACCACGACATCATCTCTGTCAAGGCCCAGAACTTGTACAGCGTTGGTGGCGGCAGCGGCAGCAGTGGCAGCGGTTCCCGCTCGGGCAAGGGCCGCGACACTGGTCGTGTCAAGCGCCGTAAGCAGAAGGGCAGCTGGGGATGGTTCCTGTTCAAGACCGTTCTGTTCTTCGCTGTGGTTGTTGGAGGCTATGTTGGGTACACTGCGTACCGCACCAAGCACCGCTACTCGCGGTTCTAGATGTGGCAGAATGGGGAGCCTGAGAGAGAAACAGAACCTGAAACAGAACAGAAATGTGTCATTTATCCTTGCATAGCCGTGTCGCGTTATATCAGTTGTATCTATCTATGATCTTGCTTGCTTCCTTGCAACGCGAAAAGTTGACGACCAACCCAGTAAACAAAGTACATAGTAGGGTATCATAACAAACGCCAACCAAAACAGTATACACCAAAAGAACTCAATGGGTATAATACCATCAATCACCCATCTACTAATTTCCTTTCTTCCTCTCCTCACTCCACATCTGATCCACAATCTGAAACACCTCCGTCACACTCTTCAACACCCGCTCATCAATCCCCAACTTCCCATACCGATGCTGAATCTTATCCGGATGCCACCGCACCCTCTCCGTCTTCAACAACCCCAGCAACCCACCACCCCCATCCCTATCCCCATCTTTATCCATATCCTCCTCATCAACCACCCTCGCACACTCCCTCATAAATTCCTCCACCTCCTTCCTCCCCACATCCCTCCTCTCCCCACTCTCAACCGGCCAAAACACCACCTCCTCAAACCTTCCCCCTTCACTTCCACCTTTAACCACCTCATCCAACTCCCCCCAACAAGCACAATACCTCCCCCAAACCCCCCTCCACCCTCTCCTCCTCTTCCTCTCCCTCCCCCTCCTCAAACTCTCCTCGACCGCCCTCTCCCACTCCCCCCTCTCCCTCTCCCTCCTCCTCTCCTTCTCTTTCACCCTCCTCCTCTCCTCCCTCATCCTCTCCTCCTCAGCAAGCATCCCCTCCCTCGTCCGCTCCCACATCTTCCGTCGCACATACGCCGCGTACTCCTCCTCGTCCATCATCTCCAGCTCGCCATTCGGGCCCTTAGGCACCTCCGGCACAGAGTATGTGTGGATCGGTTGGCCGTACACGGACTCCCAGTATGCGGCGCCTTCGTCGTCGCCTAGCGCGTCGAAGAGGGATTCTCGGAAGGCGGTGCTGGGGGAGAAGCGTGATGTTGTGGGCTGCGATGGGGAGGGTGGTGGTGAGGTGGTGTGTTTGCGGCGGTGGGGCGCGCGGTGTTTTTTGCGTTTCGGGGAGGGGGTGCGTTGGGGGTCTTTGTGGGAGGAGGAGTGGCGATGGCGATGGCGCTTTCGGGAGGGGTCTTTGAAGCGGAATTTTGTGGGGCGGGGGTGTGCGTTCGTGGTGTCTGGTGTAAGTGAGGTTGGGGTTGTGGTTGTGTCGGGGGGTTGTGCTGGTGGTGAGGTAGTCATTTTTGTGGTATGGATGATGTGGGTTGGGAGATTGGGTTGTTGGGAGGTTGTGGTGTATAGTTCGTATGTGTTACAGCATTGCACTGGGTGTAGAGGGTGTATATTATTGTCTGAAAGAGAAAGAGTGTATGGTGAATGAATGAGGATGTAGATGGTGGAGAGAAAGTGACTGATTGGAAGTAGCGACATTTCGAGGGACCTGAGTAAGCCGATCTTATCTTATCTGATCTTGAATATTTCTATATCGTTGATGATGTCATTGCTCTTGAACTTTCTTTCCTATCCATAGTACTGTTACCATTTACGGAATAGTCACTACAGAGACTAACACTCCCCTAGTATTGTCTACCTCTCATACTAACCCCCGAACCCATCGATCGTGGCATCAACCCCCTGCACCAGGTTCTGCACAGCTTACTAATCCCATACATAATTCATCCGCAATCTCGCCCAACCCGAGAATATCACTTCGCCGCAGCTCCAACCCACCCATTCAACTTTCTCTCTCCCAACCTTCAACCACACATCACCACCACACCCAAAACCTACCTGCCCATTATGGCCCTCGTTGCCTACTCCGACTCCGAAGCCTCGGACTCAGAGCCCGAAACCACCGTCCCTCAACCTCAACAAGCCCCGAAGAAACCCACCACAACTACCACTACCGCAACCACCAGCACCAGCAACAGCAACAACAACAACAAACTCGTCGACCGCACCAACCCCCGCAAAATCCGCGTCGCATTACCAGACATCAAACCCGAACATAACGACGACGAAGACAATGGCCCGCGCAAGAAACCTAAACTAGGCGGCAGCGGCGGCGGTGCATTCTCTGGCTTCAATTCATTCCTACCTGCGCCGAAGAAAGCAACAACCCCAGCTGCAAATGGAGGTAGCACGGCGGGGGAGAAGAAAGCGCCCGCGCGCAAGATATTCAGTTTGAAGACGGGCGCAGCGCCGGGGTTCGATCGCGAGGCGGACGCGGAGATGCGGAATGAGCGGGCGTTTGGAAACCTAGGTAATAATAATAATAATGAAGATGAGGATGAGACGATACCCAAGGCGGGGAGTATGAGGGACCAGGAATTGGATTTCGGGAATGAGGACAAGAATGGGGAAGGGGAGGAGACTGTACCGCAGATGAAGAAGCCAGAGGAGGTCAAGTTGAAGGGAAACCCGATGATGTTCAAGCCGTTGTCTGTGGGGAGGGCGTCGCAGCAGAAGAAGAGGAAGGCTGTTTCGGATCTGATGCCTGCTGCTGCGAATGTACGGAGGAAAGAGGATGGGCCGGCGGCAGCTTCGTCTACATCTGCATCTGCATCTACATCTACGCCTGCGGCGGCGGCTGCACCACCACCAAAACCCAAAATCAGCCTCTTCTCCCTCTCCGCCGCTGACGACGACAACTCTACACTCACCACCACAGCAACAGCACCATCAGCAACAACATACGAACCCCTAGTCTACACCCCCCTCAACTCCGCTCCCGCCGGGCCCTCCCCCGCCCCCGAAGACACCACCACAGCACAGCAACCCACATACCAACCCACTACATCCGACAATAACCACACACTCAGCACCATCGCCGACGACCTCAACCTCTCGAAAGCCCAACGACGCCAACTCTTCGGCCGCAACGCACCCGAATCCGTCGCAGCCAGTTCCCGCGTCTTGCACTTCAACACGGACCAGGAGTACGTTACGAACCAGGAGCTGGCGCACACGGAGCTGGCGGCGCAGCAACATAACCCTGTCAGGGCGATTGCGCCGGGTAAGCATACGCTGCAGCAGTTGGTTAATGCGGCGAGTACGCAGCGTGAGGCGCTGGAGGAGAGCTTTGCTGCTGGGAGGAGGAATAAGAGGGAGGCGGGGGCGAAGTATGGGTGGTGATTACTTTTATAGGGTATTGGGTGTGTGTGTATATTGTTGTGTTGTGTAGTATAGATTTTGGTGGAGTGGGGGTTGCATGGATGGAGTTTATGAGTACGATTCGATTGCTTAATGTGGAGTTTGTTTGATGGTAGTTGAGCTTTGGGTACTTGAATAGTAGTTGATATAGTCTGTCAGTCCTATGAGATGGTGGAACTACCAATCATGACCGGGAAGTTAAAGAAATAGATGCAATAAATGAAATATTCTAGATACATTCGAAGCTGTATATACATCTAAACCATAACAAAACAAAACATGCTAACTTTTATCTAAACAAACAAAAATGAATCAATAAATCAAGACGACACATCCACCACCTCAGCAAACCATTGCTTCAACGCCGTGGCCAAAACCGCCGGTAACTCCCTGACATCCCTAACAACAAGGTAATAAGGGAACGGGAAACCCTCCAGATATCTCTTCATCCTCAACTTCATCTCCCCACTACCATCATCTTCAAAGCTTGCCTGACTCAGATCCAAGATCGAGCTACCCTTAACAGCATCCACAATAATAAACACAATCATAATGCGTTCCTCCTGCGCCTGGCGCACCAGACGCTGGATAGTCTCGTGGTCTTCACAGATACCATCGGAGATGATCAGCTCCAGCTGCCAGAGGTCCGCGTTCCCACTACCGGGGGACTGCTTCCAACGGGCCTCGCGGAAGAGGGCGATGGAGTCGGCGATGAGCTTGCGCACGTTTGTGCCGGTTTGCTGGTAGCTGAAGTGCTGGAAGACTTGGGTGCCGGCCTCGGAGGAGAAGGGCTTGCCGAACTCGTGGGCGACGCGGACGTGGTCCTCGTTGCCGAAGCCGAGGACGCAGAGATCGCCGGCTTCGAGCATGCTGAGACTCTTGGCTACTAGGGCGAGGGTTTCGAAGGCGAGTTGGCCGCTGCCGCTTTCGAGCATGGACTTGCTGTCGTCGACGGCGAGCATGATCTGGTAGTTGCGCTTCGAGGGGATGGAGCGGCGCATCCAGATCTTGTCGCGCTTGTACTGGGAGGCGATGTAGGGGATGATGCGCTTGATGTTGAGACGCTTTCCGGTGCGGAAGTCGCCGCGTAGCTTGGTGGCTAGTGTAGGGGCCAGAATGAGACGGAGTTGTTCCGTCAGGGAGAGGGAGAGGTCGGTGGTGGCTGATTCGTAGTAGGACCAGAGACGTTGGGCCTCGTCGCGGGGGGTCAGGGGAGGGAGGTTGGAAGAGAGGTGGATGGCGGCGAGATGGGCGTCGACTTCATCGAGCTCCTCGTTTAATTCTTGTTGACCGGTAGTGTCGGTGGTCCGTTCCTGGGTCTGGGTGTTGCCAGGAATCATGGCACCGGCCATCTGTGACTCGGAGGGAAGACCCTGATCCAGCTGCATCTCATCTTCGAGCTTGTTGTCTGGGAGCTGCTGTTGGTCGTCGTCTGTGACATCCGGCAGCACGTCGTTGCCTTCGGGTTTGACGTCCGACTCGACTCCCTTGTTCTGGTCCAGAGCCTTCGCCTGTTCTTCACTGGCTTGACCCAGAGCTTGGGTGTCTGCCACGTCGTCTTGGTCGCGGAGATGTTCGAAGTCAGCGTCGGCCATGTCTGCGTCCTGGGGCATGGGATCCTCAGTCTCGCCCTCTTCTTGTTTGGAGGACTCCATGATCTCCTTCTGGCGGCGGTGCCATTGTTCGAGAACGTCACCCAGCTTCTTGAAAGCCTGCAGTTGAGGGTCGTCTGGGTTTGCATCATTCGCACCACCCTCTTCTTGGTGCCTTTGGTTCTCGTCACCCTCTTGGGCTGCACCGGTCTGCTGCTCCTTCTGGTCGGAAGGATCAGTTGAGCCGTTCTCCTGCTGTGCGTTACCAGACGCGCCCTTCTCTTGGTTCTGGTCTTGATCAGCCCCAAGGCCACCATTGACTGCTTCACTGGGAGCCACTTCCTCTCCGGCCATCTCGTTCTCGTCGCGCTGGGCCAGG